GCTCCTTTGCGCCCGTCACCTGGAACGCCCCCGTTGTCTCGCAGCCCTCTCTGGCGCAACTTAGCTGGTGGATAGACCGGTCGAGTCCTGAGCTCGTTCCCCGCAAGTAGGGGTGCACAAACGCAGGGCATGCGGCGGTGGCCAAATCGTTGGTACGCAACTCGGCGCTGGGAGACTAGGAGTGGTCGGTGTCTGCTCGGGCCGCCGGTCGGTGTGAGTGCGAGGGGTGCGAGTCTGTCTGTCTGTGTGTGTGCGACCAGGGAGGGAGGGAGCGAGCGGGTGGGACGGACCAACAAGCTCCCCGAACGTCTCGCAAGAACACTCGCCGCCTGTCCGAACGGGCCAGCTCGTGTGGGGGGGGGGAAGGGGGCGTCAGCGCTGCCTACTGCAGACGCTATCGGTCGCAGAGACTCACAACAACAGGCCAGAGGGCGTCCAAGCTTTTGTTACGACAATGTACAGTAAGGTTGGTTATGTCCGATTCTCTCACAGACCTGTCCAATCCTCTCAAACTAAATACCGGTATACATACCGATCCACACCATATCCCTCCGATATTCCAGATACTCTTTTCAAATATTTCCCGTCAATTTTCCACCTACTCTCTTTCCAAGTGGTGCGCGCAATTGCACTCAGTTCACACCAGCCCTGTTCAATTTCCATCTCTTACCCCTAGTTACAGTAGCCGTTAATACCCCAGCTCTAGGAAACGCGGCCCGATTGCACCACACTCGCCCACCCTGATTCAGTGTCAACATTTCTAAAGATAAGTTGTACACAGAAACAACTCAACAGCGCAATTTGCTACGAACTTCTTTCCTCCAACACCATTACTTCTGCCCCTTGATCCTCATACCAAATTGAATGCACCACTTGCCGACTTCAACAACAATGTCGTCAACCTATATCGTGATTGCACCACTTTTTGGTGTGGGTTTTCGACGTTGCATGAAAGGCGTTAATTCTTCAGGCCGGGGATACAGGCGTTCTGGCCGTTGATGTCAAATAATACGCGACACAACTCGGACGACGGTGTTGGGAGAAATGGTTGGCTGTGGCAGTCATTCTCATCCTCGTAGCTGTCATTGATACGCTAGTCTGACCGTCACGACGTACATATCCCTCCCCCCCGATCGTGTGTACTGTGTCGACTCATCGCGGCCGGCCTCTCAAGAACCATTCACGCCCCCACCACCCCCCCCACAATACAAACA